TCTTCTCCTGTCTTTACTGGCTTCAGTCACTGCAACGTACTCAGCTTCTGTAGTGGATAGGGTAACAATCTTCTGTACCTGTGACATCCAACTAACAGCTGTAGTTCCAACGGTGAATACATAGCCGGTGGTACTTCTTCGGTGATCAACTTCGCCGCCGAAGTCTGCATCTACGTACCCTTGTACTTCTACCTCTCCCTTACCAAAGTGCAAACACTTCTGTGTGGTGCCTCGTAGATATCTCAGAATCCACTTGACCGCTTCCCAATGAGCTTTTCCTGGATTCGACATAAACCGGCTGACCACTCCCACTGCATGGCCAATGTCTGGTCTCGTACAGACCATTGCGTACATCAAACTTCCGATAGCTGAGGCGTAAGGTACCTGAGCCATGCTCTCTTTCTCTTCTTCTGACTGAGGAGACTGATCCTTCGATAGACGAAAATGGCTAGCCAAGGGTGTGCTCACAGGCTTGGCGTCGCCCATGTTGAATCTCTGCAAAACACGGTTGATGTACTCCGTCTGAGATAACTGCAAGAGACCTCTCTTCTTATCTCTCGTGATTTGCATTCCAAGGATCTTCTTCGCTGGACCCAAGTCCTTCATGTCAAACTCCTTTGACAGCTGCTGCTTCAAACTCTTGATATCTTTCATATCTGCTCCTGCAACCAACATATCATCAACATACAGCAGTAGGATGATATAGCTGGACTGATATCTTTTGAAGTAGCAACAGTGGTCGGCGTTACACTTCTGGAAACCTTCCTTGTGCATAAAGCCGTCAAACTTTCTGTACCACTGCCTTGGGGCTTGTTTCAGGCCATACAAGCTCTTCTTGAGTCTGCACACCAGGTTCTTCTTTTTTTCTTCTGAGAAACCTTCTGGCTGGTGCATGTATATCTCCTCTTCTAGATCTCCGTGAAGAAACGCCGTCTTCACGTCTAACTGCTCGAGATGAAGATCTTCAATTGCTACAATACTCATCACAGTCCTGATAGTATTTAGCTTCACCACGGGAGCGAAAATATCGGTGTAGTCAATTCCTTCCTTCTGCTGGAAACCTTTGACAACTAGCCGGGCTTTATATCTTCTGGAACCATCCTGCTCCTCTTTCACTCGGTACACCCATTTGTTGTGGAGTGCCTTCTTACCCGTGGGTAACTCAACTAGTTCCCACGTCTGGTTTGATATGAGAGACTTCATCTCATCTTTCATTGCAAGCTCCCACTTGCTCGCATCTCCACACTGACAAGCTTCATCAAAGCTTTCAGGCTCCCCACCATCTGTCAACAACAGATAGTTCATGTATCTCCTGTTGGGTACAGGAGGACGAGAAGATCTTCTTAATATCGGAGCTGGTGCGTCGGGCTCCTGCGCACCATCTTGTCCAACAGGCTCTTCTTGCTGAGGACCCTCTGCATTGGGTTCTTCCGAGAGGTTACTCGGGACATCATCTGCATCTATAAATGTGGACTCGCTCTCTGAGTCGTCAGTCTTGTGCATGTCCTTGTACATCACCTTCTCGTTGAATATCACATCTCTGCTCCGGATCACCTTCTTGTTTTCGTTGTCCCAAATGCGGTAGCCGAACTCATCTTCACCATAGCCGATGAAAGTGCATTTCTTTGACTTGGGATCAAGCTTATTCCTGCCTTGATCACTAATATGCACGTAAGCTACACAACCGAAAACTTTAAGATGTGAGAGTTTTACCTCCTTTCCGCACCATACCTCCTCTGGTATTCTGTGCTCCAATGGAACCGATGGACCTCGGTTGATCAAGTAAGCTGCTGTGTTGACCGCTTCTGCCCAGAACTGCTTCGGTAGGCCTGATTGTACTCGAATGCTTCTGGCTCTCTCTGTCAACGTTCGGTTCATCCGCTCAGCTACACCATTTTGCTGAGGCGTGCCGGGCACGGTTCTCTCCATTCTGATCCCGTGCTCATAGCAGAACTTCTTGAATCCGGTGTCTTCATACTCACCGCCATTGTCGGTCCTGAGCTTCTTTATTCTCAGACCGGTCTCATTCTCGACCATGGCTTTCCATCTTCTGAAAGCCTCAAACACTTCTGACTTATGTTTCAGAAAGTAGACCCATACTTTCCGAGTGTGATCATCGATAAAAGTCACGAAGTAGTGTTTTCCACCAATGGACGCGGTGGTTGTTGGTCCCCAAACATCTGAGTGAACGAGCTCTAGCTTCTGCTTCCTGGGGGTTCTGCCACTTGTCTGAAAGCTGACTCTCTTCTGCTTTCCAAGTATACATTCTTCACACATATCCATCTCCACTGACTGCAGTCCTGGGAGTTTTCCCTTTGTGTGCATAATCTTCATCCCCTTTTCACTCATATGACCGAGTCTCTGGTGCCACAGCTTTGAAGTCTCATTGCCTGCTGCAACTGAGATCAAACAACGTGCACCTGCTGTCATATACAGGGTACCAGTCTTCTTGCCTCGGGCAATCGTCATTGCGCCCTTTGAGATCTTCCAATCACCTCCATGGAAGGTTGTGGTGTATCCTTCGCCAGCCAACTGGCCTACGGATATTAAATTCTTTCTCAGGTCGGGAATATGCCTGACATCCTTCAGCTCCCATACTGACCCGTTCAACTTAATTTTCACCACGCCTTTGCCCACTATAGCACACGGTTGATCATCACCAAGATATACGTATCCAAGTTTTCCGGGGGTATACTTCTCGAAGAATTCTTTCTGAGAAGTAGCGTGGAACGACGCTCCTGAATCTAACACCCAAGATTCCTCCTTGCTCTCCAAAGAGCATATCAATGCGTCGTCTCCTCCTGAAGTGGAAGTGACATTCACCTCTGCCTTCGCCTCCTTCTCTTTCTGTGCACTCTTGCACTGATTCTTGTAATGCCCGGTCTTTCCACAATTCCAACACTCGATAGCCTTCGAGCTGTTGCTTGGATTCCTTGATTTGGACCTCCTGTCCTTTGATCTACCTCTGAAGTTTGATTTTCCTCGTCCGTTTCCTCTGGTTGAATTTCTACCTCTTGACTCTGTATGCAATACTGAAGAGGTTGTAGCTTCACCAGTCTCTCGCCGTCGGATCTCCTCACTGAGAACCAAATCACGAACGTCGCCGAACTTCAACTTTTTCTTTCCCGACGAGCTACTCACAGCTGTGACTGTAGCGTTCCAACTCTCTGGTAGGGAAGACAACAATATCAACGCCCGAACTTCTTCATCAAACTCAATCTCAACTGAACTCAATTGGGTTGTAACCGTATTAAGTTCATTGAGGTGTTGTGCTACTGACGCGCCTTCCGCCATTTTCAGATTGAATAACCACCGCATCAAATGAACTTTGTTCGCGGCTGATGGCTTCTCATACATTTTTGAGAGTGCTGCCATAAGACCTGCCGTGGTCTTTCTGATACCAATTGTTGGGAATTTAACGCTGAAATCCCTAATGCAACGGAAACGTAGATAGAGAACAGTACACCAAGTTTTAACGAGGTTCGGCAACTGCCTACGTCCTCGGGAGCCACACAGATAATTTCTTATTAATCAAACAAGAAATTATAAATCAAGAGCAAATCCCTAAACTGAGATTTCTCAAATGAACACTGTTGCTACAGTGTTAATAATTAAAGGGAATAAACCCCTTTCAAATCTCACTTGAGAATAATTAAACAACCCACTTATAAAACCCTTCTTTAATTCTCTATTTCTCTCTCTTCTTTAATCCACTTCTTAATCTCTCCTCAAAACAATTTGAGAGCTGGAGATGAATGAAATCACTGCTGTGATTTAATTGGAAACGCGACTGCGTTTTGGGGCTTCGCCGCCAGAGAAATCGGAGAAGGGGGGGAGAGAAGGAGCACTGAAACCCTAGGGCCAAAGGGGGTTTTATAGCCTGGATTTGGTGGGCTGGCGACAGCCTGTCGCCAGCGCTCGAACGGACGCGAGCGTCGCCAATGACGTGGTCGTCGAGCTTCTGGACGCGATGGTCGGACCCCTGGACGCGATGGTCGGGGCGCTCAACGCGAGGGTCGCGTTCGCCGAGGGTCGCGTTCGTCCGAGGGTCGCGACTTCGACTGGGGTTTTGCCTGCGTCATTTCTGAGCTCATCGGAGCTCCTCGTCGCCGGCGGAGGTAGGTTTCCACCCCCAATTAACATCTACTAGATGTTGCTGATTATCTGGGAAGAGCTTCATCCGTCGTTAAGACTAGCTTCTCAAAGATTGGTGCATCGATCCGAAGACTCTGTTGGAGTAGGGCCTCTTCTAAAAACACTGTTGGAAGGTGTTGCGGTGACTGATAAGCAACTAAAAGAGGTGACTTATCCATCTTTTGCTCAGAGTATATTTGCTAAATTCTCATCTGTTAATATATATATGAAGCTACAAATTTACTGTTAACTATTCTTATTTCGCCTTTTTCTGATCCGGTGACTTAAAAACTTACAAAGATTCGACTTCTATTTACTCATCATATGACTGTATTGGTCAGTTCTTACTGCGGTTAATGTATTTTTCTGCGATCATGTGTTTCGTGTTTTAAGCTATTATCACGCGTTATCTGTGATCATCAAGGTATATTCATTTTAATTGGATTCTTGTTTCTTAAATAGACCTTTCATTACATTTCACTGATTGAGTCTCATCAATGTTATTTTTATTCAGCCTGGATATATGCTCTATGATCGCGTTCTTCGTCCTGCTGATCGAAGTAAGTTCTTTTGTTGAGTTGAGAAACTTTTATGTGGTTTGATAGTGTAGTTCTTGTTTTTTTTTCTTCCCCCATATTTATTAAGGTGTAAAAAAGGTAATGTTATGTTTACTAGTATTGGAACAGGAAAGGACAGGTGTATGTATTTATTCCTCTATACAAAAGGGAGAAACGAAGAATAACTGTTCATGCTACAGTAAATTGAATAGTGAATTACTGTAGCATTAACAGTGACACTTTGAATTTCAAAATTTAAAAAACTCAAATCCACAAATCCCACCACATTCTCACTCTTTCACCGTACTCCCCCCTCAACAAAAGCCACAAATCTTCCAATAAAAATAAAAAATAAAAAACTCATTTCCTCTCCTCTCCCCCTCCCCTCCCTCTCTCTCCCTCCCTCGCGACAACGATGTCCGCTGAGAGACCGCTGCCCCCTTTCATCGCCGCTCAGCTGTGCGAACTCCTCAACAACTCTCCTCTCCCACTCAAGGTAACAGCCCCCTAAACCCTAATCCTCGCCTAACCATAAACCCTAGCTTCATCCTCCTCCTCCTCTCTCTCTCTCTCAAATTCATCTCAGGTCGATCAAATCTGGTCAGGCTGTAGAAATTCCCACTGAAATCAAGTCTGGTCAGTTAAGCGTGTGGGGGATTTGGATGATGAGAGTTTAAAATTTGAGACGGATACCATTTTATCGAGGAAGGTAATATCTTTCTATCCCTAAAATCAAGTAATTTTTCTCTATCCCGACCTAAAAACCAAATGAAATTATTTTTCAGTTATGCATGATTATTTGTTTTGGTTTTTGAAACCCTAGGTTGATCATTTGGATTTGGGACTTTTTGATTGGTTGATTGATTGGGAATTTCGTTGTAGATTGTTGATAATCTTTTGAAAATGTATTTTATTTAGAAGTAGGCAAATTTGTGTTCTTGATCTGAGATATAATGGGATTGTTATAAGTTAGTGAGAATTGAATGGAAAGATTTTTAGATCCTAACCTCAATTATTTAATTAATTATCCCTTTAAGCCTGCAATAATCCAAGACTCTGTTTAAGCTTGCAATAGTTTTATTTCAGGTTTTGAAGAGGATCTCATTTTGAAGATCAGAGGTGCAATCTCCTTTGGGTTTTAAGTTCTTTGATTTTTTACATTTTTTTTCAACCCAAATAATCCTAATTTCTTATTCTATCTAAAACATCCCAAATTATTTCTTAGGGGTTGAGCTTCTTTGCTGATCTAGGGATGCTCGCTGCTTTGAATGACCAGGCATTGGAGATTCTCTCTTGCTCTTGGAGACTCCCATCACCGAAATCCTGTCGTCAAAGCCCGACTCCAAAAGCATGCACGAAATCTTAAACACCCAACTCTGGCGAGTCCTTTTGAAATCTAAATTTGGATCTGAGTAAAAATTTTCATTAACATTGAATGGTTTTCATTTAAACTATGAGAATACAAATTTATTTTATCTAGAATTTTGTCAATATTTGTCGTTGTGGATTTGATGTTGGTTTGAGGAAAAATAAATGAGTTTTGATTTTGTCAATATTATTATTATTATTTATTTGTATATTATAGTGATGCATCTTATTTGGTCTATTAGGATATTGGAGAAAGTAATAATGGTTGGGTAAACACTTACCATTCTATAAGGTTTTCTTTTTGTGGTGGTAAACACTTACCATTCTATAATTTTGGTAATTCATAATTCACAAACTATGACCAATATTTACCTAAAAGATAAAATTGGGCTAACTTAACATTTCTATTCTACAGCATTGTCGTTGGGAAATTGAACATTTGTGGGTGGACATCAATCACGCTAACATAAAAGGTACTTACTGTATGTCATTTTTACATGCTTGCACCTAATTATGTTTTGAGGCCATCTATACATATATTGCATATAGACTATGCATATTCAGTTTATGTGTTAAAACTAAATAATATATGTTATCATGACGATATCGATACAATTTCATTCACGATTACAGGAAATATACCCATTAGAACTAATTGCAAATGGACAAAAGAGTTCTCCTAAAAGATCACTGAAGTTGAAAGATGAAAGGTAAGATTTAGTACGGACATTGTAGGAATATATATAAATAACGCAACTTCATTCTATTAAATTATCGTCACAATACTAAAGTCTATATCTATGTTTGCTTATGATCACGAGCTTCAGGGGTCATTAATGCAGTAAGATGAGAATTACTGTTCACAATCTCTCAAGGATATCCCATTTATGTGATCATGTCATCTGAGAATGTGCCTTCAACTATCAACAGGTGAACACAAATAAAAAAAAATCCTTAAAATTCTCATAAATTTGTTAGGATTTAAATAAATTTTTAGTTATGAAGTATGATTGAGATGCTTATGCTTATGCTTATGCTTATGTATCTTTATTGTTTGATATATGAAGGGAAAAAAACTGATTCAGATGGGTTGACCACGATAATTGTGTTTGGGCCTCTATTTTCTTTTCATTTATGAGTATATTTTAAGTTCCATCTCCAGTCAAAAATATGTGCTCAGATCTGAATATTTCCTCTAAAGTAATGAAGTATTGATATGTGCTCAGATTTGAAGATTTCCTCTGTCAAAATTTTATTCATTTTATATTAATTTCTCTTTAACATTGATAATGGATATTTGAAAAGACACATTAATAAAGAGATTATTATACATTAATCTTTTCTTCTTTCTGAAAATAATGAGAAACTTTCATAGTTCAAAATATCCATGTCATTTCACATAAATAGAAACCTACAATGATGCATAATAATAATACAAAGGGACTAGAAAAAAACACTACTTTACAGCAACACGCTCAACTTGAGTAAACATTGCCTCTGTTTCAAACAAGAATCAAGTATTCCTCTGGCTCATACTGATACAAAGATTAATTAGTAAACAGTTTGTGGCTCAAACTCAGCAAAAGCAAAATCAACAGACCCAGACTCAACTGGGGGCATTAAGTAAGCAGCCAAGAGCTCAGAGACCAACACAGCAATAAGAGGGACTCTCTTCAAGTTCTTCACAAGATCTTTTAGTAGTTAGTGTTAATAATTTTGCTTCTTCCATTCTTTAATATGAATGTATGATAGCTTACCAAAGCTTTTGCTATATATTTGTCAATTATTAAAATATATTAACATTTTACTTTTGGTATTCTGTTTAAGATAAGGCTGATTAATGGAATCATTGATAGCTTAGGGCAATGAAATCATATTTTGTATATTGCTACTGATGACAACATGTGCAAATTTCTAGGAGACAATAAGCTAATGTTGTATTGTACATTAGCTTTATCATAACTTTAAATCTTCTAGATTATATTTTTATTTTCTCTTGGCTCGATAAATTTAATAATGCATAATTCATTCTATTAATCCCATTTCTTTCTTAGATCCTGTGATCGAAGTAGTCATATTCCTAAATGAATTGAAGGAATAGTCTTATTTGGGTGTACGGATGACACACTCAACACTCTTAAACCCTATGTAGTAGTAAACAAATTTGAAGAATTAATTCTGAAGAGATCAATCTTTATTTTTGAACTCGAAAAGATAAGGAAAGGTCAAAGCTAATTTAAGAGGGCCATTTTGTTAATGTTTTCTTTGTGATGGAATTGTCTTAGTGTTAAATATGCAATATTCATTCTTACTAAGAATTTTTCCTGTGTTCTCATATTGAGCATAAATATTTTGTAGCAGAATTATTTTATGGATTTGAGCTTAGAGTAAAATGCAGATCTACTATACTTGGTCATAGCCGATGATGTTGTTGGCAATATTTAATGTGGGTTAAATTTAAAGTGAGAGGAAGAAGAAATTATATTGTTAACATATGGGAAAGGAATGATCTTAGTATGGGAAAGAAATGATTTATGAATGCCAACGCAATTGAAGCCATCCTTTTGTTTTGAAATGCATTTGTGACATCTCAACTAAAGAGAACTATGGCAATCTCAATCACATTATGATTTCTTTCTCCAATTTCCTCTCGGAAGCAAGTCTTCATGTGATCAACTATTGCATTTCTTTGCTAACAGATTATTACCTGCATACTGATTTTCAGTAAAATAGTTTTTTATATTAATTTTTGTATTGTTTTATGCCTATATTTTGTATGCTCCTGTACTACCTGTTTTTGTTTTTCTGTTCAGATTCCTCTGAGCTCTGTCACTTCGATTATTGATGGCTTGAAGAAACTATATATTGAAAAATTAAAGTCATTGGAAGTTACCTATCAATTTAATGATTTTGCTTCTCCTTTGCTGGTGAGTTATGCAATACATATATTCCTCTTATCATGGGCAAACATCTTATAAGTTTCATTTCATTTTAAAAATCAGTCGTTAAGCGCTTTAGGGGGTTGTAATTGGTGGTTTTTATAAGTGAATACAAGCATAACAGCATTTGGGTCAATATTCTACAGGGAAGACAACATTTATAAAGCATTTGCTAAGATCTAGCTACCCAAGTTTGTTGGATTTTCTATCTAATTAAATTTTTTTCCTGCTTATTTTGAAGGATGGGCTTGCGAGAGAGGGGGATGTCATATTAATAGATATTGTCTAACTAACCAAATTTCACTATTTTATGCAGGGACTCATAGAGGACTGGAGCCCACAACCGATAGATTTATTGTGGTCATGGTAATGCTTTTAGTTTGTGTTCCTATTAGTGGTAGTCCTAATTTTTTGTCCAAGTAAGTTATACATTCAATCAGATAGATCTTTTTTGTGATTGATGAAATTATACAGATTCTTTTAATGCGATTATATTTTTTATTTTCATTACATCACAAAAATAGTAAAATTTACTTGAGAAGGATATCTAGAAGAGCATTATTTCCATATTTCATTTTGATATATTTTATTTTAGAGATTACAATAATTTTTTGGCAGAAACAGAAAATAGAAGGAGATAAATAGGACAGATGATAGTGCACAGGAAAGGAAGTGATAAGTATAAACAAACATGGTCTATTTTTCGAAGGTATTTCCTCTTTTAAAATTGGTTGTTTTTCGAAGGCATTCGTATCTGGATTTTATAAACTGATATGTGTGCCATAATTTTATATTTTTTGCCATAATTTATGTGCTAATTTAATTATGATACGAATGTTATTTCTTTTTTTGTTGGCCAGGTTTCGGTTTTTAGGCTTCATGGTCTTCTCATCAATCTAGCAACATCCTTCTCAAATCATGTTTATGTTGTTTTCTAAGTATAAGTTGAAATTAGAATGAATCGAATATTTAGCTGCCCATGGTTTCTCAAATCATGTTCATGGTTTTTTACTATTCTTGGCAATATGTCACAATAAACATGGATGCCTATCAGCACAAGAGAATAATTTATAGCAACTTTATGTACGTGTCATATGGGAAATTTGTTTATACATAAAGTTTAATATGCTTTATAATTTTAATTGTACAATAATAATATGTAATTAAAAATAAGAGGAGGGGTGTTCCAAGTGCAATGGTAGAAAAGAGGCGAGGGCCGTGCTTGGCACGGGGTACATACTAGTGTATTGTATATTACATCCATTGAGCAAATGAGAAAGAAATTGAACGCAGGATCTTTACCTTAGGGGTGGCAGTTTTTGACCCGACCCATCAACCCGACCCGACCCGACCCGTTTATATTGGGTATGAGTCAAGTTATATGGGTTGGGTCATAAACGGGTCAACCCAAATTGACCCATTTATTAGATGGGTAAGTTAGGGTTGACCCGCCTGACCCGTGTAACACAAAGCTCACCCGCGATTGAAAATTCGGGCCGTCCCATTCCTTTCTACGGAGAAAATAAAGGAAATCTAGGGTTCAACCCGTCCTCTCTTCGTCTCTCATAAATGAAACCCTAGATTTCCCATCTGCGTGCGGCGTACGCGAGCGGGCGAGCGGCAGCGAGGCGAGCCGGCGGCGATAGGCCGAGAGAGTGTGACGGCGAGCCGGCACGGCGTTTCATCAAAAGTGACGAACGAGTGACGGCGAAGCGATACGAGCTGGCGACAACGGGAGCCTCATCCTCTCTGTAGTTCTCATCTCTCTAAGCTTCATCAAAATTTAGGTTCTTTCACATTTGCTCAACGTTTCTTTAAATTAAATTGAGAAGACGTGAAGGAGCTTGAGACTCCTGTGTCAATTAGAATTCATGTAAAGGGATTTCATTTTAGTTTTTTTTTCCCCTGAACTAGTTAAACTTACTGTTAGAGTGACACAAATTATCTTATTAATTTGTACATACAATACATAAATCTTTGCCACCCTTTTACTGCTGATGGCGGACTGTGAATTAGTACTGGTTTTTAATATCCTAATTAGATTTATTTCTTATAGATTGTTATAAGAATTATAAGTGTCATTTTCCTTGGACAGAATACTAGGACAAGACAGTGCTCAGTTCTCTTCAGCTCCAATGTTGCTACCTCAAATGTTGCTATTAAACTGAGCAGGGATTACCTCAAATGTTTCATTTTGACATTGAGGACTTAATAGATGTGATCACATAGAGTTTTCATTAATTTAGAAGATGTGAAATATCCATTTCTGAAGCATGTAAAAGCTATTAGAACATCACTTTGTTCTGTCATTGAGGAATGAGTCATACTCGTCATGGAAATGGTTACATGTACATACATACATTATTGCCCTTTTTTTAAAGGAAGCTAATTGCAAAGGAGAATATATAATCTGGCAAAGGTAAGTATGCGCTAATGCCCATGGCCTTTTATGGTAACTACTTTATAGTCTTCAGACCAAATCAACTTACTGCTGAAGTGTTTAGGAGTCATTAGCGACAATCCATTCTGGCAAGAAAGAGACTAAGCTAGCTAAAGGGACCTTAATGTGATTTTACTAAGGACTCAAAATTACTAGAATGGCTATATTCTAATTATACCATCTCCAATTTCAAGTGCCTTTCAAGAGTATATGGTACACTCTACAGTTTTAGCTACTTGCTCCATGACCATGGGTTGGATTAATGTTTCCGTAGAAGGTAAAATTGCTGACTTGCATGTATACAGTCCTTATTTTTGTTGCTAGGTCTCCATCTTTGGATGAGATATCGATCCAACACATGCTATATTTTTGTTTATCTAAGTGAATTTATTTACAACCTTTGTAATGTAATGTGACTTTAGAACAGCTAGTGTCATGAAATAGTTAACTACTTGTGTGGATATTTAGACAAAGATGCATTATACAGATAACTGAATTTGTGTTATCTGTTGAATTTTATTTAATTTTATGAATCTTATGTAGTTTTGTAATTTTCATTACAGTTAATGGAGTCTAATTCTACCCATAATTCTATAGCGGATAATGTAGAAGCAGATTCATCTAATGAAGACTTAGAAGACATGTCAGAACACAAAAGAGAGACTTAATTACGCAAATAGCAGCTGTCAAATACTACTACCAATACACAGACCATGAAGAGTGTATATGCACGTACAAACACTAAGGGAGTATCAATACATTTACAAAACTGTCTGGATAGTGATCCCTTTACCATGATTTTAGCCAAGATCAAGCACTTAGTTTACTTTCTTCCCCTTAGAATAGCTGGGGCAGACCGTCGATCGAAAACTGAAGGGCTGCCATAAAAGGCAGAGGCAAAAGACTTGTTTTTGTTAGCAGACCAAGAGGTTGATTCACTTTGATTACTGTTCACTGAACTTCTACCTTCTATAATTGTAATAGATCAAAAGATGAAAGGAACTGAATAAGAAATAATGACTTGACAAGATTGATAAGCAAAAGGTAAAGAAAAGTTCAACTACAAAAAAATTTAAAAAGGGTTAGTTGTGCTTCAATTCCTTAAAGTCTGATATGCTGAAATTTAAATTTGCCCAAGAAAACTAACCCAAAGTTTAACCATTTTTAACTTTAATATCTCCTGTTAAATTAGTGTTTAGAATTTTGTGTTGGCAGTGAGTATCATTTAACACGGGGTACTGTTTCTGCAACATTTTAATGTCAAATTTAAGACATCTGTGTTTGAAAAAATGAAGCAATGAATTAATGTCTTTCAACTTCAATGATTTTAGGGTTAAATGGCAGGAGGAGGACGAAAGGGATTTGGGGATTTCTTTCCTAAAGGGTGATGATCACATGGTGCATTTTAAACAGATATTTGTTTTCTTCTGCGGATAGAGATATGAATACATATATTTTCCTGATATTGAAATTCTGAATGGAGTGGTATGAATTAATAGTTGTATCTATTAAAATATGGGTGTAAAGTTGAACTTAGGAGGGCAATTTTCTGTCACAAATCCTGAATCTTTTCTTACAAGATGCATAGGCACATGATGGTTGGACTTAGGACTAGGGAGAATCCCGTCTCACTACAAAGTCTTGATTCCCAAATAGATATGATTAGTTGAGCTTTCTCATAGTAATCTTCCTTATGAATGTTAACAACAAATAGTAGCAGGGTGAAACACTCAATTACAAAAATAATGATCAAAGGTGTACATCACAAATGATGGCATTTTGTTTTAATATGTTTTAATATGTTTCCTTGGACAGGAGTGATAGCTTTTGTTTTTCAAGGTCAGATCGGCATTTTGGTATCTGTCCGCTGATCGTGTTTGCTATTTCAGGTCTATGTCATGCTTGTGAGTTTTAGATGCCACTTTCGTTCACCCACCTCCTGAATGCTGCAATTTGGGAAAACCTTGTATTTTAGGAATGTCCGAGAGATCTCGCTGATATGCGGCGAAGCCGATAGCATTGTTTTACGAATCAAGAGTACGTGTCGGCAACGAACAAAGTCTGTGAAAGGATTGGAGTCACTGAAACCTGCACAGAGGAATGCACAGAGGAAGGACTGCATAACCAAGTTCTTCGAAAAGGCTGTAAAAAACTCAGTCTTGATGTTGTTGGTTTTGTTGCCTTCTGAAAGCATTGTTTTATTTGCTGCTGCTTTGTTGGAACTTGTAACTCAAGTTTGCATTGTTTTATTTTTTCATGAGAAGCAGTATTGTAGTTCTGCACCTTATAGTCTCTGCCTTTTTATTTAGCTACTCCCGAATCTTCCCTTTTGGTGATCTTATTTTCCTGTATCAGAATTTCCTCACCGCTTCCAGGGTTTCTCTGCAACAATGTAAAAACTTTAGATTCATCATATAGTTTGTGTTCTTTCTTTTTTAACTTGTAAAAAGTTTTGAATTATAGTGAATTAATGCTCTTTTTACAGTATGGTTTATGCCTCTGCAATTATTATACGGGTCGGGTCAAATTTTATATGGGTCGGGTCGGGTCGGGTCGACCCATTTGCCACCCCTACTTTACCTTGCTTGATGTGCTTCAGATGCGTCAAGCAATATTTCAGTTCTACTTGATTGTGCCTCCGCATAACAAAAGGAATGTATTGTATACAAAAGTGATCTCCTTCCTTCCTGTATCATTTTCTAGAGAGGAAGATTTTTTATGATTATGATTAAATAAAGAAATGTACGTAAATGTCACAAGATAAATGCTTTGGCGCTGCATTGAACGTTAGAAACTAAGGGGAGTTGCATATTAGTTCCTGACATCAAAGCTTAGTATTTGGTTATTAGACCCTCAAATCTTTAATTTTCTTGCAAATTCATCCCTCTGTTAGGGATTCTGTTAATTTCTCTAACTCCAATTTGGTTATCTAACTCTAGTTAGAATATAATTGTTGGAAAAGGCCCTAAATTGGATTTGGAGAAGCTAGTCCTGATCGTTGGAGGAAAAGAAGTTCCTGGGTTTGAGTTTTAGTTGGAGCGGGTTGCAGGTATAAACCCGTTACGAAACATGTTAGTAAGGTTCTAAATAATAGGGTTAATTATGGGCGAGGGTATAATGAGAAAACCATCTAATTCCATTAACATTAACAAAAGTTAACTCTCAAAAATAATGTCGCCTAATAAGAGGGACAAATTTACAAGACAATTGAAGATTTGAGAGACTAATTATAAGCGAATATTGAAATTTGAGGGACTATTTGGCAATTAAGGATGATTTAATGTTACTTATATACAATTACCCCTAAAAGAGTAAAAGCTAACCGTACAAATAAGATTCGAATAATATTTGTTAGAATGAAGAGGACATATTGAACATGTGATATTTTCTGAAATGGGTAAATAAAACAGTGTATCTCATTATTACAACCAGAATACAGTGAAACAAGCACTTTCAGAAACACATTACCCTATGTGAAATTAATGGAAATCATAAACCTCATGAGAGATAAATCAATCGTTCTTTAACAACATATAAAATTAAACTTCCTATATTTTATGCCACTACGATATTTTGTAAAATTCCTGAAACACCTCCCTTCTAAAGAGATAAACTGACAATTAATGCTACAACAAAGAGAGAGAGAAAAGGAAAAAAGAAAAAGAAAATAGAAAAAAGATTATCATCCTTCAAGCTATCTAAAGGCTATTAATCGTAATTGGATCACATTCTTCCATCTTCAATATGGAAATTTCTCTCAAATCTTCAACCTAGCTAAAGATTCCTCGCAGAAAATAGTAGACGGTGTATTCTAATGGTCTCCAGGTATCCCATCTAATCCAAACTTGCCCATCAAATTTTAGGGAAAAAATGATAAAATAAATGAAATCAGAATAATTTCGTATGATCATTTGAGTAAATCTGCTATATATCAGGTAGGTGTTCACTCTAAAACTATTACAAGGGCTTTTATAGTCTTACAACTCATCAAAGGTGCAATGTTCATGAAACCAAAATATATTATTTCTTCTCTAAAATAAGATGATATGCAATTAAATTGTCATAAAGCTGTGAAGCGTGTCAAATCTAATATTTAATTACCACAATATTATCATTAGTTAGATTTTACGGCAGGAGTAAATATGTCATATTAGTATGGATTCATTTGATTTCTCGAATCTATATATGAAGATTATGTTGCAGCATGATCAAAGGGTAAAGTTAACGCTCATGAAGCCCAGTATGTTATATACAACCACTCAAAACATAAGACAATGAAAAAAAAAATTTAAAAGTTGAAGTTAAAACAGAACCAGCGATAAAAAATTGTGTTTAATTAAGAAAAAATGTAAAACGTGTGCAAACAAAAAAGAGAAGTTTTAATTCTTAGTACTTCAGATGTTTTATTTTTTTGAATAATCTAGTTGGTTGAAGGAAACTTACTTTTTTTTTATTTTTACTCACCTGCATAATCATCACAAGGAAGTGCCAATTTACTACTCTCTTCACAACAATTATCAATACTTTATTTTGCTACAAGCTCATATCTTTCTTATTAGGAATCCAATTACTAAATTTTTTAAAGGAAATAAAATTTTCGCTCTCTAGTTGTCTGGAGTGAGCGAGTGAGATGTTAAAAAAAATCAAGTTTTCTTTTATCCTTCTTGATTATTTTTTTGGAGATAAAAGTTCTCTGCGGGAACCTTTAATCCCAAGTTAAACTCAAATCAACAAGACGGGATTATTATGTGAAAGACATCATTATTTAAATTATTGAAGGGTTAATGTTTGTCAATAACTTATCCGTATGTTGATCATCAAGATTGCGCTAATCTAAATGTGCATCACATCATGAATACACTAGTCAAGAATACAGAGGGACTCCCGTCCTCGTTAATTCTAACTATATATATCCTCATTGTATAAAGATTTAGTTTGATCGATCCAAATGGAAAATAACTTCTGTTGTTAGTGTTATATTAATTGTAGGAACGCCCTATATGTGTTGAGTTTTGCTGAGTTCTCGTTCTCCATCTTTTTACATATTAGTAGATGTACGCAGTCTCACTTGAATCAAATAGTTAAAATGAACTTAGAAGGTTTTCGGAATGAATTTTATATTGTAGAAGTCTCACTTTTTTCTTTTTCTTTTTTTCGTTCGAAAGAAAGATAAAGCTAATAAGGCAATTATACTTAGCAAAATACTGAGTTCTTGTTGATTTGCTCTCGTTTTAGAGAGAGGTCAACAATGAAAACTCCAATACCTGAAAGCAAACAGTTACATGTAGAACTATAAAATATAAGTTGTCAAATATTAAAACTTAACCAAACAAATATAAGTACCAATTAAATACATATGTAATTGATATTTCATATTTGCATTGCAATTATTACTGTGATGAGCAACCCCTTCATTAGGAAAGTCATCATCATAAATTGAACAAGTATTTTGTAGTCATCACTTCGGTGCCGGATTGAGTAGGTCAGTCAGGGTGGTCCCCTGCCACCCATATAATTTATTAGCACTTTTTTTTTAGATCCAAATCACCACCTAATTCAAAATGCAATAATCACCTGCATATCTCCTAAGGTTAAGGATTGATTAGCGGGAACCATAAATTAAACCGAGGGATCCTTTATCAACTAATCCTCAAAATCTAGATATTTGCTAATTAAGCAAATCAACAACATTTGCAAATTAAGCCAACCATACGGTTGACATAACAAAGTATTCCTAATATTTTTGTGTGTTCTTTATCTAAAAGTTTAACTTAACCAATTAATATTGCATGGAAAATAGGTCTGAAGTAGTTAAAGTAAAAGAAATTTAAGGATACTTCACTTACTTCTGAGCAAAAAACGATATTTATAATTATTAGCCAAACAAAAAAAAAAATTTAATGAAGATAAAAACAATACTCTTTTCACTACTTTAAAAAAATCGTGAAATAAATTTTTTTTATCACATCCGCTATTTTCTACTTTACATATATGATTTACTTCTTTGATTTACTTTTTCGATTAGGAAATATCTAGATTTAGTAAATAATTTGCAAATACCATTGATTTGGAAGCACTAAGGGGCTGTTTGGTTCACTGTTTTTGAGGGAAAGACTCTCTTCAAAGCCTGTTAAAAGTGTCGCGCGCCTTTGCGGAAGCCTTGCACGAACTCACAACGAACCTGTGATCACGAGTAGAAGAAAGCCAAACACTTGCACAAACCAAGCCAATTACGACAAATCAAACCAAACACAAGGATATACGTGGTTCGGCAATTGCCTACGTCCACGGGGAGAGGATGAGGAGATTTCACTATATGGAGGAGAAATACAACGGGTTACAACTCACAAAATCACTCAAATATAACCCTAACCAAAGCTCTCAACTCCCTCACAATATCTCCCTCTCAAAGTGCTCAAAACAATGCTAAATCTCTTCTTTTCTCTCCTTAAGAAACCCTAAAAAACGTGGTCCTATTTATAATAAAACACAATCCCAAACAAAGGAGGATTCCTCAACAAATAAGGATTCTAAAAACGAGTCTGCCACACCCTGCACCATGGGTGTGGCAGAGGGTGTGGTGCAGGAGTGGTGCAGGACAGATTCTGCCACACCCTGCACCGTGGGTGTGGCAGAGGGTGTGGTGCAGGACAGACTCTACCACACCCATGGCAGACACCACACCAGGGTGTGGTGGAGCCTGTTTTGAGTTATTCTTCACGTTTTTCACAATTCCTTCGCCGTTTTCACAATTCTCCACCTCGGCGAAGTGTTCCCAACACTGAGCCGACACCAACATGAGCACCAATGTGTCGTCTCTCTAAACTCGGCTGCACCAATGCGGTTGCCTACGTACCCCCTCTCCCAAGGGATCAAGCCGCCCGTAGTTCATCCAAATGGCCGCCAACGGCCTCAACAATTACGAATGTGCAACAAGTTTCGACAATGATCAAACTTGTTGCTCGGAACCACCTTAGTGAGCATATCTGCCGGATTATCCTTCGTGTGGACTTTCACAATTTCCACATCGCCATCTTCAAGAACATCCCGAACGAAGTGATAACGAACGTCAATGTGCTTCGTCCTCGCATGAAAAACCTGATTCTTCGCCAAATATATAGCACTCATGCTATCGCAATGAATAGTGACGGATCGCTGCGATATACCAAGTTCTTCCAAAAGTCCTCGAAGCCAAATAGCCTCCTTCACAGCCTCCGTAACTGCCATATACTCTGCCTCCGTCGTAGACAAAGCCACCGTAGACTGTAAGGTGCATCTCCAACACACCGGCGCACGGGTCAAAGTGAACACATACCCCGTAGTAGACCGGCGCTTATCCAAATCCCCGGCATAATACGAATCAACATAACCAATGCATAACTACCCACCTGTGCGCTTCGCCTCGCCCAAGTCCTTCATCTCAAACTCATTCGAAAGCTGAACTTTCAACTCATCTATAGCTGACCTGGAACTAGAAGCAACCAACATGTCATCGACATAAAGCAACAAATAAATGTACGCACCTCCTCTCAACTTGCGAAAATACACGCAAGGATCAAACTGGCTCCGAGTGTACGAATGACCAAGCATAAAACCATCAAATCGCCTATACCACTGTCGAGGAGACTGCTTCAAACCGTATAGCGATTTCTTTAGCCTGCAAACCAACTTATCTTTCCCTGCAGCTCGGAATCCCAATGGCTGAGTCATATATATTTCTTCATCAAGATCACCATGAAGAAATGCTGTCTTCACATCCAACTGATCTAACTCCAATCCATACTGTGCCACCAAAGCTAGCAAAATCCGAATCGACGAATGCTTCACCACCGGAGAGAAAACCTCATTGTAATCAATACCTTCCTCCTGTGCATAGCCCTTCGCAACCAACCTAGCCTTGAACCTCACTGGAGTGCCCTCAATGCCCTCCTTCTTCGTGTACACCCACTTGCACCCAATCGCCTTCCGCCCCTTTGGAAGCTCTACAAGCTCCCATGTATCGTTCTTGTGAAGAGACTCCATCTCCTCCTGCATAGCCACCTGCCACGAATCAGCCTCCGAACTCTGCTCGGCCTCTCTGAATGTAGTAGGCACCATCTCATCGATACTCTCCACCGGAAGTGCATATGCAACTGTGTCGGCATACCGTGCTGGCACCCGTATGTCTCTCCTCTGTCTCCGTGCCGCAATAGAATCCTGAACCTGAGCCGTCGGTCCCTGATTCTGCTCATGAGTACCCGTATCCTCCGCATCACCGTCGTGCTCGCCTGGCGTCACCTCGATCGGCACTCTCATGGATACTGCACTATCTGGACTCTATGGAGCTGCATCAATCTCCACCACCTGCGAAATCTCCTCTGTCGGGTCGCTCTCCACCTGATGAGAGCTGGGAAGCTTCAAGATAGAAGCCTCATCGAATGTGACGTCCCTACTCAGCACAATCTTCTTATCAACTGGATCCCAAAGCTTGTATCCCTTGACACCACGCTTGAATCCTACAAATATGGCCTTCCTAGCTCGAGGTTCCAACTTATCAGTTCTAACATGATAATATGCAGGGCAACCAAATACCTTAAGCTGGTCATAGTCATGTGCTGTCTCTCCCGACCACATCTCCATAGGGGTCTTCCCCTCAATCGCAGATGAAGGCAGCCTGTTAATGAGGTGGCTCGCATAAGAAAGTGCCTCAGCCCAAAAGATCTTCTCCAAACCACTATGCGCCAATAAACATCGAATCTTCTCCAGCAAAGACCGATTCAATCTCTCCGCCACCCCATTCTGCTGCGGTGTATGACTAACTGTGAAGTGCCTCTCTATGCCCTCGTCTCGACATAGCTGCAGAAAGGGGTCTGAGGTATACTCGCCGCCGTTGTCGGATCGCAACGTCTTGATCTTTCTCCCAGTCTGCAGTTCCAATCTCTTCTTCCACTCCACAAACAAATCTAGGACTTCACTCTTATGCTTCATGGTGTACACCCAACATCGCCTAGAATAGTCATCAACGAACGTGACGAACCAATGTCGACCACCAAGTGATGCCGTCTTAGTGGGACCCCAAACATCTGTGTGCACGTAGTCCAAGATGCCCCTCGTCCTATGAATGGCCGTCCCGAACTTCACCTTCGTCTTCTTGCCAAGTACACAGTGCTCACAGAATTCTACTTTACCACTCTTGGCTCCCTTCAAAAGCCCCTGCTTGCACAATGCCTGCAGTGACTTTTCACCTGTATGCCCTAGCCTGTAGTGCCAAAGTCTGCTCATGTCCGCCTCTGAAATCGCCGAAGCAACCTGGCCAATCTCGGTGCTCCCCTTCAGATAATATAAATTATGATTTCGGACTCCCTTCATCACCACCAAAGATCCCTTAGTAACCTTTGCTACAGCATCCTCAAAGGTCACCCTGAATCCCTTCGCCTCCAAAGCCCCCACTGAGATAAGATTCTTCTTAAGTTGAGGAACGAATCTCACCTCCTTCAGCTCACGGACTACTCCATCGTGCATCCGAATCCTCACAGTACCTATCCCACGAACGCCACAGGATTGATCATTTCCCATGACCACAACACCCCCATCGAGTCTCTCAAATGATGAGAACCAATCTCGCCTAGGAGTCACATGATAAGTAGCGCCAGAATCAAGCATCCACTCCGATGCATCCAAATGGTTCACCTCCGGAGTAATCAAAAGAGAAAAGCTCGAATCATCGGAATCATCGCCTTTCGCAACATTCACCTCATTGGCCTTCGGGCCCTTATTCTTGCTATTCTCCTTTTCTTTGACTTTCGGGCAATCTCTTTTCCAATGTCCCTGCTCCTTGCAGAATGCACATTGATTCTTTCCAAGCTGGTGACGACCTCTTGACTTTGACCTCCCTCTGTTTCCACCTTTCTGATATGAGCTTCTACCTCTCGCCGACAAGGCCTCTCCTGAAGTACTAGCGCGGGAAGTCTCCTTATCCTTCCTCCTCAAATCATAGTTCGTCAATGCGTTAGTCACTTCACTATAAGTGATAGAAGATCTCCCGTTCAGCAACGTAAGCACGAAGGTATCATACTCCTCATCCGGTAAGGAGCCCAAAAGAATAATAGCCTTGTACTCATCTGTGATCTTCTCATCCACGTTCGCCAAGTCCGACAACAACTTAGTGTAGTTGTTCACATGAGCCGCAAGCGAGGTACCTCTGGACATCTGGAATCTGAATAACCTTCGCAGCAAGTGCAACCGGTTCTCAACACTCTTCGTAAGGTACTTATTGTTGAGAATTTCCCACATCTTCATCGCAGACGTCACCCCAATCACATCGTATTTCAGCTCCTGTTCCAAACAGGACCTGATCACCCCGCAAGCATTTCGATTCATCTTTTCCCATATCGCCTCTTCATATTTAGGTGGCCTCACATCGACCATGATGGTCTCCTCCAGATTTTGAGCATTGAGCGCATCCTGTACGTCGCTCATCCACAAACCAAAATTGATCTTGCCGTCATATTTCACAACACTAATCTTAGTGTTCTGAAAACCCACTTGAACTGTGCCTGTCATCTTGCTGCTTTCACCAATTACTTCACCCATAATCACAACTTCCAAATTGTAGAGAAAGATCCAAACTTTAAGAAGAATAAGAAATTACCCAACTGAACCCTAGATTGGATTCCAAATAGAACTCCTAACCACACGAGGAAAGCGAGATCTCCAACGGCAACTTCAAACCCTAACTCCACCAAAACCTAGAACTCCAAGAACCAAGCTTCAAACTGAATCTTCCTCCACCTAATCCAAAACCCTAGATCTGAATCTGGGCTCTGATACCACTTGTCGCGCGCCTTTGCGGAAGCCTTGCACGAACTCACAACGAACCTGTGATCACGAGTAGAAGAAAGCCAAACACTTGCACAAACCAAGCCAATTACGACAAATCAAACCAAACACAAGGATATACGTGGTTCGGCAATTGCCTACGTCCACGGGGAGAGGATGGGGAGATTTCACTATATGGAGGAGAAATACAACGGGTTACAACTCACAAAATCACTCAAATATAACCCTAACCAAAGCTCTCAACTCCCTCACAATATCTCCCTCTCAAAGTGCTCAAAACAATGCTAAATCTCTTCTTTTCTCTCCTTAAGAAACCCTAAAAAACGTGGTCCTATTTATAATAAAACACAATCCCAAACAAAGGAGGATTCCTCAACAAATAAGGATTCTAAAAACGAGTCTGCCACACCCTGCACCATGGGTGTGGCAGAGGGTGTGGTGCAGGAGTGGTGCAGGACAGATTCTGCCACACCCTGCACCGTGGGTGTGGCAGAGGGTGTGGTGCAGGACAGGCTCTACCACACCCATGGCAGACACCACACCAGGGTGTGGTGGAGCCTGTTTTGAGTTATTCTTCACGTTTTTCACAATTCCTTCGCCGTTTTCACAAAAAGTGTCAAAAGTGTCACTTTTTGGCAGATTTTCTGCCAAAATCTTCTTTTTTTAGAGACGATTTTGGCTGAAAGGCTGCCAAAAAGTGACACTTTTGACACTTTTGATAGGCTTTCAAAAGAGTCTTTCCCTCAAAAACAGGAAACCAAACAGCCCCTTAAATAAGAAATCCTAAAATCCCCCCTGCCACTTTAATTTTGGGTAGTATAGACTATTTCAATGTTAAAGACTTAGGGGTAAATACATGCAAGGAAGCCCTAATAATAGAATTAAACAAATTTAAACCAAAACCGTGGGGGTAATCTCACCGGCAGCAGGTGCTGGCATCACGCCATCATTAAAACCAAAGTTTCAACTTTTTCAAGCGACCGGTGGTGTCCTTTTCTTTCTCCACTGTACTTTCTCTGTCTGAAGGAGCAGCAACTCTTCGTCTCTCTCCTTCTGCTCCGCCCTCAGATCGAAGATCTCGAGGATCTCTCTCTCTCTCGATTCTTCGTAAGTCTCTGCATGCTTAGCTTTTCGCTGCTGATCTCGTGAACAATTCTGTTTTTGTTTTTGTTTTCTTTCCTCTTAGTGCAAACTTTCTCGACTTGGTAAATGTTGGATCTTTAGGGTTTCGGGATTGGGGTACTTATGAGTTTGTGAATAATGTGGGTTCTCTTGGTTGAATTGGCTGCGGGTTTGGAGGTAATGAGGGGGTTTTGGTGAGGTTCTTGAAGCGAATTCTTGGATATTATTTTTTTTAATGTTTTGGGCGGAGCTGGGGCTAGCATTTGCATTTGGTTACGCCTAAGGTTTTCAGTGGATTTTGCTTCATTTTGTTCTGTAGCTGTATGATACGAATTAATTGAAAAAATCGAGAGGCTAAACACACGCTTTTGTCTTAGCCTGTGATCCGGGATGAGCTACTGTTAAGCTCCACGACTAGGAAAAATGCGATGTTTTGATATTTGATCGTAGTTTCGTTGACTACCTATGACGAGTCACCCCCCGAGTGGCAGGCTGGTCAAATGAATGTAAATCGTACAGTTTTCGTTGACTGAGGAGATGGCCCGGAGTAGAATGGAATGGAAGAATAGGATTCATGTAGCTGTTGTTGTATATAATTTCATTTGAGGATTTGTACCGTTTAAAGATGTTGAACCCAAGCACATTTTCTTAGATTGCCGGTCACTTCTTGAGGACCCTCGACTACTGCAGTACTTAGCAACCTGGGACTAAGTCGCAAAATTCATTTTTATTTTTTTTGAAGCTAGTGGTTTGCATCTAGATGATGTCATACGTTATCAATTCTAGGCCTGCATTGTCTTTCATTGTAGTCTGTGTGTTGGCCTTTCGCCCTCTTTCCTTTGGTTCAGTTTATGGTAGTGCACCTATTGAAAGTTGAAATGTGCTGCTGAAATGTGTGATATGAAATAGGATAATTGGAGTTGAATGACCTGAAAATGAAATTTCTCTATCAATCTTGTGGGAATTTGTCATGAGACGGATGGGAACTGTTATATGCTAATCAGCTAGGATTATAACAGGAAAAATCCTGCTTGGAGCGTAAAAGTTTCTCATTGGGCTGTATACACACAATTTTGAGCTTATAAGTAAAGCTTGATCCAATTTTATTCAATTTCATGTAGCTCGCAGGTAACATCATACAGTTGGTTCAGGCTGTGTACATTCTTGTGTTACTGCTAAAGAGCATGCTAACTTGCTTCATTTTTTTTTCGGTCAGTTAACTTGTTTTAACCAAAGATTTCAGTTTTCTAACACTCTTCATGGCATGTCTCCCTCATATAGAAATGACTGTTGTGGGTTCTCAGAGTCCATTAATGGGTGAAACCACATGTGGGTCTTTACTGCAGCAATTACAGGTAATTCAAGTTGTTCACTCAGAATTTGCCTTCATAAAAGATGCAATTGCAAAGCTTCAAATAATGTTGAACATTTTGTGTTTAGATCATATGGGATGAGGTTGGTGAAAGTGATGAGGAGCGTGATAAATTGCTGCTTCAGCTAGAGCAGGAGTGCTTGGATGTTTACAGGAGGAAAGTTGATCAAGCAGCTAAGTCAAGGGCACTACTTCTTCAAGCTTTGGCTGATTCCAGATCAGAACTTTCCAGACTTCTTGCTGCTCTTGGGGAAGAGACTTGTGCAAGCGCTGTGAGTGATTATTCTTATCATGAATCCATGATACATAATTAGCTTCATACTTAACTGTTGCATGCAGTCCCTGGACAGTAAAGACATTAGATTTTTTGCATATGCTTATGCATGCCATAAAAATTTGGTTCACAAATATTTATTTTATATGCAGCTGTAGTGTTATATTATTTTTTTATAGTGAACTTTTACTTTTCAAAGGGGTTGTGAGTGCAAAATCATGCATTATTATTGTTATTGTTGGGTGAATGGGTCCTGTTTATCTCTTTAGAGTTGGCCGGATGGCTGTGTATGGGCAGGCTGCTGCTACCCCTTTGCATTATATATACAAATAAGCAAATTCTTGTTATCATGTTACCTCCTATTCTGTGCATTTTTGGCTTGCATTTTGTTGTAAAGAGAATTTCAAAACAAATCCAAGATTGAGTTGATTATCTCTTCAGTCATCGGGGATAAGACCGCCAAAGTGATAAGAAAACAAAAGGCTACGGTTACTTACACAGTTACATAAACACTAAGACGATTTATTAAACAAAGTGGACAGGGGCACAAAGAGAACTTATGAACTCACAACAGGTGTTTTGACATGGATGGTAAATGTCTTACTTCTATCTTACCCGAAATATCTAGTGCTTTGGTATCTCAAAAATTTAATCTATGTATGCTGATTGTTAGGGTAAATTATCCTTCATGGTAGATGTGCAAAGTAGTATAATATTATTTAAATATTTATTTGGTGATCAAGTTATAAGATTATAAAAGTGTGTAGTTTCTCTTCAACAAAGTTACGATAAGTACGCCCTGAAAAAGTTATGAATTTTAGATTGTGTGATTCAATCTCGGATATGAGATTTTAATTGCCCTGAAATTATTGATTCAGGCGTGAGGCCATTGATGCAGAAGAAATTTTAAATTTTTTTCTTTTCTTTTATTTCTTCTTCATCCCCCATCAGATGTTTAAGATGATGTCATGAAAAAAATTATGAAATTTATAGATTCTATGGTTCAGTTTTGGTATAAGACGCTAATTTTGCTGGCGTGGGACCTTAACTGGCAAGATAACATTGATTTATACATCAGGCCTTTGATACAAGCATGAGCTGAAATTTTAGTTTTCTTTTGTTCTCTTTTGTTATCTTTCTTGTTTCATCCCCTGTCAGGAGGAATTATCTTGTATTGAAAAGCTGTAATGGACGTCTAAGCCTACCTGTATACACTTGCAATTGTTAGCTAATATATGCTGACATTTGAAATAACCTAGGAAGTTCTGGAATGTGCATATTGACAATACATATACGCGTATTCATATATCACCAAGCAGTTCTTTAAACTTCAGGGAATTAAAACTATCTAATACCAACTACAGCTAGAGGGAACTAGTTATATCAATAATAATTGTCCATTTTTTAATTTCTTGCATGCATTTGACAGGACCCTAGTTTTCATAACTGTTGCTTATATGGCAATGGGTACATGAATACTCACTGTATAGGTGTGTTTGGCAACTTCAAAATAGAATTGGGTTAGACTAGTTTTATCTTAACTAGGACAAAGTCGAAACATGTAAGAGTTGGTCCCCAAAGGAACTAGTTTAGGGCTACATTTTGAACTAGAAAGAACTAGTTCAATTTGGACCCAACTTTTGCCAAATTAAAAACAAGGTATTGGACCGAAATTGTACCAGCTAAAACAAGTTTTATGAAGTTGCCAAACACACCCCAAGTTTGATTGGTAGTATGGTGGCCATAACTAACAACATAGGTTTATGCAGCCTGATAAGTCATCCTGCACAATCAAGGAGCAACTAGAAGCTATAGCTCCAGCATTGGAACTGTTACGCAAACAAAAGGAGGAGAGAGTACATAGTTTTGCTGATGTACAGTCACAAATTAGAAAAATACAAGCTGAGATCGTCGGAAACTTGAAACTTGATGAGCATATAGGGAAACCACAGGTTGATGAGGATGATTTATCACTGAAGAAGTTGGATGAATTCCAGTCTCAACTCCTAGAACTTCAGAAAGAAAAGGTTTTTTCCGGAAACTAAATATTTTAACCTTCTTTATTCGTAGAGATTGGAATTTGCCTGATAACCATTCTTTTGTTTTGACAGAGTGATAGATTGCACAAAGTTCTTGATTTTGTGAGCAACATTCATGCTCTTTGTTCTGTCTTGGGGATGGATTTTTTCAGTACAATAAATGAAGTTCATCCAAGTCTTGATGACTCTATTAGTGTTCAATCCAAGAGTATTAGCAATGAAACCTTATCCAAGCTTTCTGGAATGGTTGGATCTCTTGTAGAAGATAAAAAGCTGAGACTGCAAAAGGTAGCCCTCCTTGTGCAATGTTAAGTAGCATCTCCATAGAGAGGTGTGATCTAGTATGCTTGTCTTTTTCTGCTTTACTGGCTAAAATACTGTATTTCTTATTGTATACATGTTGATTTTAGGCCTAGTAAACAACAATAAAACAAGCCTTACACCCAAAGTTAATCGATTAAACATACTGTTTTCTTTCATCAAGCTCTACCCATCTCCTTGGTTATGATAACAAATATAAATCCTTTTTAATTGCCACCATGCATGTTTCATTAGCCCTACCTCAAGGCAGTATTCCGTCACTGTAATGATTGTTGCTTTTCGTATTATTTAATGTCAAGTAACTACTATTGTACCTCAGCATCTACCACACCAGTTTTTTGTCATTAAATCGTGCTTAGATTAACTTTGCTGAGATTCAATTTTAACCTTGACACTAAAACGTGATTGTTCCTTTTGACTGCGAGGTAGTATCATCTGTTACTAACACCTCAATTTTCAAGCTTCATATGTCATTCCAGAATTCCAACTTGGACTTTGCTTGAATAGATGTTGACTATTGGTAAACACAAAGGGAAGTGGGAGAATAACTGGTTTTCATCTTCTTTGTACATAATTCTGTGAACATAGAAGGGGAATACTAGTAGTATGTGGTTCAGATCTAAGAACAAATAGGCAACCTTTTAAAGGCAAAACACTCTCAATCTAATACCACACTTTTCAAGCTGCAACCGCCACATTCAAAATTTCAGTTTGATTTCTGCTTGAATAGATGGCAACTATTGGTACAGAGAAATAAATGGAAACTACTTTGCGTTCAATGTTCCTGTTTCGCTGGTACAATAATTACTTTGACATTAAATCATGCTTAGATTACTTTGACACTAAATCATGCTTAGTAACTACTACTGTACCAACAGAAGTTAGGAAGGTGGAAATCATGCTTAAGATTACTTTTGGGCATACATAAAGTTCTTACCCTGCGTTGAATTTTTAAGCTTTCATTTTCAAAAACACAACTCATGTTCGCACCTGTTAAAACTAAATGCAGAATGTTATTAGATTCAGGTGGGGCAAGTACATATCTCCTATCATATTAATTTATCTCCAATACACCTCATTCGTAAAATTTTAACCTTTGCTTAAATTATAAAACTACCACTTAATTGTTCAATAGATTGATTGTATTTATTCACTGGATTGATTCTTATTCTGAATTGCTTCTCAGCTTCAAGAGTTGGTTGCACAGTTAACTGACCTTTGGAACTTGATGGATACTCCGGTAGAAGAACGCAATTTATTCAATCATATTATTTACAGCGCGTCTGCTTCAGTAGATGATGTCACTGTTCCTGGTGCCCTTGCACTTGACTTAATTGAGCAGGTTAGGATTCACAAACCCATATTTTGGAAGATTGCAGTTTTGGAAGTGTGGACCTTTTGTTTTGATTTTGAACTGTGCTGTGTGAAGGCTGAAGTGGAGGTTGAAAGACTGGATTCATTAAAGGCTAGCAAGATGAAGGAAATTGCTATGAAGAGACAATCTGAACTTGAAGACATTTATGCCCATGCTCACATAGAGGTAGATCCTACAGCTGCCAGGGAGAAAATAATGGCTCTGATAGAAACAGGGAATGTTGAGCCTTCAGAATTACTAGCCGACATGGATAGTAAGATATCAAAGGCCAAAGAGGAGGCCTTTACCAGAAAAGAAATATTGGAAAGGGTAGAGAAATGGATGTCAGCCTGCGAAGAAGAGAGCTGGCTTGAAGACTATAATCGGGTAAATGTTGACTCATTGTTTAGAAAGTGTAATGGAAATTTGCTTGTTAGTCCACATACATTGCAAAGCTAAAAATTTATTTTTACAAACTTCTTTACACTGTATTACTTAATTAAACATGAAAAGAATGAGTGCACTCAACTAGTCACTGTATACTTGTAAAGTTGTAATCTAATTAGAAGGGATGAAGGCAAGATGACCCTTTTATCTTAGGCACAGAATATATCCGATATAAATTACAAAAGAAATCCCAGATTGTTCTTTAAATTTCTGATGGTGACACATACTTATGTTTTACTTAGGTTTTGTGTGTGTGTGTACCACTTCAATTACACACGATTCATTCTAATCATGTATCTTTCTTTCATTTGACTTGTCAAGAAGCATTCATTTCTTTCATAACAGCTGCTGTTGGGTCTCGAATGGCACGATTTCATTAGTGTGTTATGAATAGGATATTTGTTGGCTTTGCGTCTGGGATGTAAGGCGTAATGGTTGACCCCTTCAGTTTAAATTGGCTTAAACCATTATTGATGTCTCATAACGTGTACAAGTTAATGCCAAGTTGATACCAAGTCAATAGCGGTGATTGACGAGGTCAAGCTTAGGAAGGGACAATGGTGCATGTAGGTTAATAGTTCAATGATTTGGTGATTGGCACATAACTTGTACGGTTGTACCATCATAAAACATAACTCTAAAGATGGGTCTAGAATTGCTCAAGTTGAAATATTAAGATTGTTTCCACCAAGATAGGGGCAAGTAATAAAAGAATGCCGCCATGGCTCGAGGGTTGAAACATCATGCTGTTTGAACTCATTAATCATCAGATATGAGCCAATACAGATTTTAGCTTTGTGTCTTGCTTATAGTTGAAATCACCCAGTATTAATGGGACAAATCAAGCTAAGGTTTAGGCCCACATCAGAAAACAAGTGGGAGTGTGATCTTTAATATGTGATTGAGATCTATGAACAAGTAGACAACCTTTTGGGTGCAAATAGTCTCAGTCTATTATTAGGGCCTCAGCTTTTGGACGCCAACTGGCTTCCCAGAATTCCAGTTTAGACTTTGCTTGAATATGTGACAAATATTGGTACATAGAAACAGATGTGGTAGAATATCTAGTTGTATTAGAAGTCTAGTTGTACTCTGATTGAATAGATGCCAACTATTAGTACATAAAAATAGATCGACAACTTTGTACTCATCCTTCCAAGAGTTTTCACTAGACATACACGAATAGCTACAATTTATGTTGCATTGACATTTCCCAACTTTCTCTCAACACTTTATGTCTCTTTTGCCAATTCTTTTGGAAAAAGATCATCAGAGATAGAAAGGCTATAATCGTAATTGTTAGGCTTTATTATCGAAGGTTTACAAACTGAACTTCTCCCTTCGCTTTGAAGCATGTGATGACTGGAGAATGCTGGAAACCAAAAGTATCATTCTTTAGGAAGTGTGTTCTTTTGATAAATACACCCATTGTCACTAGTTAATAAGCCCCTTCTAATCTATACTGTTTGGTGGTAAAGTGACACCCACAAATCATTTGAATAGTGAGTGATAACTCCTTAACTCTCATAATGGGCCAAACCTAAAACTATAGTGACCCTAGGACCCGCTAAATTAAATGACCCAATTTACCACATATCAAAAAGCTACCACCAATATCGGAAAAAGAAAAAAGAAGATACATAAGTTTATATTGAAAAGGATGTTAATAAACCCTTTCTAATTTATCATGTTTGGTTCTACAGGACGAGAACAGATACAGTTCAAGCAGAGGTGCCCACTTAAATCTTAAGCGTGCTGAAAAAGCTCGTGTACTGCTTAATAAAATACCAGGTATTTTATAGATATTCCAGTCCTGTTAAGTAGTTTTTTTTACTATATTTCTGCAACCAGACATTTTTGTTCCCCTGTACTTCTCTTGGAACAGCACATTTTCATGTTTGCTTGAGAAATTGTGTGCATGCACGCTAAAGAAGTCATTTCTTATGGTCCATAATTTTCATCGACTAAAACAGTATGCTACATTGCATAGACACAATATACAACATGGCAGGTCATGCATATACGAAATTGTATGAAACTAATGCTAATACCTTCCTGACATGGTGATTTTATGTGTTTGTAAGTGAGCTTGCATGTCTCTGGGTATGTGTGTTTGCGCGTACGGGTGAGGGGTATATTATGAATAATATAATGCATGATATACGTTAGGGTATGTTATGAATAATATAATACATGATATACGTCAGGATTCATAACCCTAAACACCAATGAGGAAACCCATGAAATCTCACCCAATAAACAGAAAACAGGGAGCTAAGGTCCAAAAGATATGTGAGATATTTATACTTTAAAAAAAGAATGCCTGTTCGACAATAGGTACAGGCAACAAAAAAAGTTACATTTTTAATTTTGTATTTTTTCCAGTACTAGACTTAGAAAAGGAGAGGATCAGATAAGTGGAAGTGTAAGCTAAGTATTTTCTAACGATAATCCTTCGAAGGATAAAATAAATCATATTTGCTTCCTCAGTTCCCAATTTTTTCAGTATAATTAGGATACACTTGCACAAGAAAAAATTTACATCGTTGTAGATCTCCATTTCCAACATCTACAAAAGGAGTACACTTCTAAATCTACAATATTATCTATTAGCTCAAGATTATCAACCCATGATTTTTTTGTCAATTTTTGTTCTTCAACCTAATGGAAAATAAATATGCATACTTCAAAATTTATTATTTTCATGGTGTATATAGTCCATGGATTTTGTCCATTTTGCTTGTTTCAACCATTTAGCAGTTAATTGTGTGAACTTTAATATTTACGGTTTTCATGGGATTTAGCCCCGACTTTTGTCCACTATCTTTCTTTCGACCCAACATCAATGAATTATTACTACAAAATTCATGAGCTAGATGTGCAGTAACTCCCGATTTTGGCAATTTTTATCCATTTCATCTAAATAGCAAGTAATTATACATGCTACAAAATTTGTATTTTCACCATTTGGCAACGAATTGTGCGAACTTCAATATTTATGATTTTCATGGGCTATAGCCAATATTTTAAAAAGCCTGCGCCTAGCCTGCCTAGGCACACACCTAGGCCTCAGTAGTATCTTAGTCACCTACCTAGCGTCTAGGTACTCACCTAGGCCTCAGTAGTATCTTAGTCACCTACCTAGCGTCTAAGCAGTACCTAGGCTGTCCACGTAGGTTTTGGGAGCGCTTGTGGGAGTGTGGTTGGCTACAGGGATTGCACCCTTTAGGCATTATCGTAATTTTCTCCATTGTAGTCTCCACGTCCTCTAACCTCCGACTATAAACACCTTTTCTACCTCTCCCGACCTTCAGTAAAACCCCATACACGTCAGTCCAATGCCTAAACTTTCCATAACATTAACATTGACCATCATAAATTGTAATTAAAAACTAAAAATTAGGAAAGTGCCTAGGTTCTAGGCTTCTGCCTAGGCATCTAGGCTCTAGGTGTCTGGTCTAACGCCTAGGTCGCTTAGCACTTTTTGTAATGTTGGCTGTAGCGCACGATTTTTCCATTATCGTTCTTTCTACCCAATGTTAATTTATTATTACTTCAAATTCACGATTTTGGCAATTTTTATCATTTTATCTAAGTGGCAAGTGATTATACGTACTCCAAAATTCACGTTTTCATGGCTATAACCCAGAATTTTAGTTTATTTTTGTTATTTTCGATCAAATGGCAATTAAAGTTTCTTTCATAAAATGTCACAATTTTCAAGGACTATAATTCATAAGTTTGTCAATTTCTGTTCTTTGGCCAATTGGAAAATAAATGCTTGGTTCAAAATATGTTTTTTCATGAGTTGTATTCCATGATTTTTCTTTCCCATTTTGCTCATTTTAAGTCTTTTGACGATTTAGCAATTAACTGTGTAAACTTTAAAATTAGCGATTTTTATACACTATAGCTGACGTTTTTTGTCCGTTATAGTTCATTCACTAAAAAATTACCGATGGGCAACAAAGGTAAGGAAATGTTTGGTTTAGGATTAGGGCTCCTCAGCCGCCTAGCGCTTTCTATAACCTCAGTTTCAACTCAATGACAATTAAAATTTCTTTCATAAAAAATTGTGATCACAAGGGGGGCTATAACCTACAATTTGGTCACTTTTCATTCTTCGACCAATTGGAAAATAAATATGCGTACTTCAAAATTCATTGTTTTCATGAGTTATATTCTATGGTTTTTGTCCATTTTATTTGTTTCGACCATTAAAAACTAATTGTATGAACTTTACTATTCGCAGTTTTCGTGGTACTTAATGGTAGTTAATTATGACTACATAATTTGCCATTTTGATGGGTTATAACTCATAATCTTGGGAATTTTTGTTTGTTTGGTCCTACTGACAAGTAACTACATGTATTTTAAAATTTATAGTTTTCATGTCCTATAATCAACAATTTTAGTCTATCTTTGTTAGTTTCAACCCATGGCAATTAAATGTCTTTGTTAACAAATTGTTATTTTCATAGGCTATAACTCAAAATCTTTAAATTTTCTTTCTTTGACCAATTGGAAAATAAATATGTACTATAAAATTCATTACTTCAAAGTTCGCTATTTTGATGGGTAACTCATGGCAAGTTTTTTTTTGTTTGGTCTTAATGGCAACTTGGCGAGTAATGTCTCGTACTTCGAAATTCGCAGTCTTCATGGGCTATTATCCACAATTTTAGTTTATATTTGTTAGTTTGAACCCAATTCTAATTAAATTTTCTTTCATAAAAATTCGTGACATTCATCAACCATAACCCACAAGTTTATTATTTTTCGTTCTTCAACCAATTGGAAAATAAATATGCTTACTTTAAAATTCATTATATTCATTGGCTATTGTCCATAATTTTTGTCCATTTTGTTCGTGTCAACCATTTCACAAGTAATTGTGTGAGCTCCAAAAATCAAAATTTCCATGGGCTATTGTAACCCGTGATTTTTGTTCATCATTGTCCATTTGACTAAATGATAATTAATTATGATTGCTTAAAAATTTGCTATTGTGGTAGGTTATAACCCATGCTTTTGGCAATTTTTATTTATTTTGTCCTAATATTAAGTAATTAACGCACTTCAAAATTCGCAATTTGCATAAGCTATAACCCACAATTTTTACAATTTTTATTCTTCTACCAATAGGAAAATAAATATGCTTATTTCAATTCATTATTTTTATTAGCTATAGTCCATGATTTTTTACTATTTTGTTCATTTTGACCATCTAACGAGCATGTGCGAACTCCAGTATTCGTGATTTGCGTACGCTATAGTCGATTTTTTGTACCATTTGTAGGTGTAAAATTTTATTTCCTGGAATGAGGATTTTATTTGTATTGATAAGAATAGCTTATTACAAACTAATGAATCAAAGTTATAACAGAAACGGAGGGAATGCCCTCCTTGTTTAACGTGGGGTTTTTAGTAGCGATAGGACGCCTCCCTCGTGTTCGCGTCGAGTTTGCTTCCCTTAGACGATCCGATCGAAGTTACAGGCGAGCTTCAGTACGCAGTAAAAACTCGTGTTGATCGAGTTCGAGTTCCCGAGCTTCAAGGCTATCAAGGCTGAAAGCTGGAAGAAGATGCTACAGTGCAAGAGCAATGCAAAGAGCGGGTCGCTAACTCAACTGAGAGCTGAGAGCCAACGAACCAACCAAACCCTTTGCCTGTAGCCACGAGAGGCTCTTAAATAGAGAAGCGATAGCATGGTCACTCTCTTGAATCATGGGATGTGACCATGTACTGTTGAGGGATGCCATGCCTCTCACTTGTACTGTGCGCGGCGGCTACTTGATGGATGCTGAGTACTATACTCCCTCCTCACGTCGTGGGAAATGGGAAGGACAATTCCTGTACATGACAGCACAACCGTCGAGTATTCTAGCGAATTTGGCGAGTTTGTTGGTCGCCTGGCTGATTGCCTGGACGGGCAGGCGAGCTCGGTGCTTGAGTCGACTTGACTCGTGCAGGCGAATCAAGTGTGCAGGCGAGCAGCGCCGCCAAGTACTGTGGGCAACTACTTGATGGGTGTGGAGTACTGTACTTCTCCCTCACGTCGTGGGAAATAGGAAGACTCATCCCTGTACGTGACAACACCGTCGCTGAATACTCTGGCGAGCTCAGCGAGTTTGTTGGTCGCCTGACTGATTGCCTGAATGTGCAGGCGAGCTCAGTGCTTGAGTGGACTTAACTCGTGCAGGCGAGTCAAGTATGCAGGCGAGCTTCTGATCGCCTGGTCATGTAGGCGAGCTTGGCGATTGCGTGGACTTGACTCGTGCTGGCGAGTCAAGCACGCGGGCGAGCTTCGTTCGTGCTGACGAACTCAACTCTTGAGTGGACTTGACTCGTGCTGGCGAGTCAAACATGCAGGCGGAATCGAGCTCTTGATGGCGGGCTCGACGATTAAAGCGAGCTTGTCTGGCTCTTCTGTGTGCGGGCGTACTCATACAGGTGGATTTTTAGATCTTCCTGTTGTTAAGGTAATTTTTATAGCCTACACCATTATCATTCACTCGGCTCGAGACAACTACTTCGAAAATCATGATTTTAGTTAGTGAGAATGCACAATTTTGGCAAATTTTGTTAGTTTCATCCTAATGGCAAATAATTATACGTACTCCAAATTTTGTGGTTTTCTTAGGCAACAACCTATGATTTTAGTTTATTTGCATTAGTTTTGGCCTAATGACAATGAAATTTTCTTTCATGAAAAATCACCATTTTCATGGGCTATAACCCAAAATTTTATCGATTTTCATCTTTGACTATTTGGAAAATAAATATGCATG